TGTACTTAAGTACAGTAACGAAGTACTTGTACTTCGTTACTTCCCACCACTGGATCATTGATATCCTTTTTTTCTTTCTTCCAGGAAATGGAAGACAGTTTGGATGAAGCCTTTTCCAGGTGGGATATAAACTATGAGCATTTTTATTCATCCATAATTAAACCGTGTTGATTCCTGTTGCAAATTCAGCTTGTCAAATCAGGGTTTTCGTTCGTCCTGCTTGGCATCACGGTGCCACCCACTGGTGATTTCTATGTACTGCAGCCTCCAAACCTGTGATTTCTCTACAAATTGGGAACCAAACTGGTAATTTTGCTCAATCTGCTGTGTGTTTGTGTCTCCAGTTGTGCTCTGGATAGCTATGGTTCATTTCCAGGTAAAGTTAAGCATCGCAGTCAACCATGAGTAGTCTTAATCACTAACCTAACCGGAATCTGTTTCATTTAATCACTACCAAACCCAATAAAACTGTTTATAGGTCAGTAATGTGTGTCAGTTGTTTGAAGTAGCTTCTGTAATCTTTCATTGCATCTCTGATGGGTAAATTGTCCACATACTTCAAACAAGACACATGACTTTAAGTCTCCATCATGTTGTGTCACATTACGATCAAAATATTTGACGTAATTTATGAGGATTTTGTTTGATATATCAACACAAATTATCTCATAAATGTGAAATGAAAAAAAAGATTCATTTTTCAAATAAAAATCTTATAAGTGTAGTGTGCATTCACTGTGATGTGCCTAAATAACATCCAGTTCTGCCGTCAGAACTCACCTAGTCATCACACAAAATCCCGCTGCAGTTTGTGCTTTTAACATGTAACTGCATATCGCACGGTCATTGTGTGAACTGACTCGAGAAGCAGGAACTTTATTGTTAAACACTTCCTGTGTTTGAGTGGCTGGTCTAAAAGTGGAGCAGTGGGAAATAATTTTATTTCAGGGTTCAGGCAACCTGAATGTCTCCTATATAATCTTTTGTAACATTATTATTCTACACAGTAAGTGGATGTCTGCAGCTAATCCAGGTCACCCAAATCAGAACAAATAAAGTGGAAACTAAAAGGAGGCATCATGTTCTCATCAATTTGAGCGTCGCCTCCCATTCACGAGAAATCACGAAATGTTCCTGAAAATATATGACTCACCTCCAAGGTCTATTCATCAAATGGCCTCTTGCAGCAGAAATAACCAATTGATGTCATTTTAACCAATTTTTCTTTGAAAGCTCTAGACCTCGTCTTGGAAATAGCTGTTACTCACTTTTTGAGATAGGTTCATGGAAAACCACTTGAAACCAGCATAAACCAGGAACTAATCCAGGTTACGGAAAATCAACTTATCTTAACCTGATTTATTTAAAGTCCAGTTACTGAATGTCTAACGAGCATCAAAGTCATACAAGCAAAACTCTCAACATCCTTTGGTAACAAGCCGTTTCTCTTGTATCCCACAGCTGCTTCTCAGCTGCTATAAATATTTACACTAATCAGCTTATATCCCCATAATGTGGTCAGCCCAAGTTCCAATAATTTTGGGGACTCTGGAAAGAAAAATGTTTGATATTATAATTCTTCAGGACTGTATTCATCTGGAAGCTAATCTAGATATCCTGGCATTATCTTCACTATAAAGTATGACTTGTGGTGGTAGAGTGTGTGCAGTTAGTATCTAACTTGTAGATAACAGTCTTAGCATCTTTCCTGAATGTTTGTTTGCGAGTGCCCCCTAGTGGCGAATAGCTGAGATGGATTCATAGAAAAACAAGTAAAACAAACTGTACCCAACAATAAGCATTACTGCTAGTGATGGGCAGCGATAACTAAAAAGTTAGTTGTCCTGACCCTAAAGTGCTAATCATAAGCTAACACTAAAGCACTACATCAGCATAGTAATTAGTAGAACCTAATGGTAAAGTGCTAATTTGAACCATGTTGACACCCACCATGTGTCAGTGATATGTCTCATATTGCCCTCTATAGGGCCAAATTATATCACAATTTATTCAACTGAAAATTTACAAAACAGCCAAGTATATTAGCACTTTATAATTTATGGGGAAAATATATTTAGGCAAAGCTAGGTGTTCAAAATGTGTTCAAAGTTAGCAATAACGCAAAATCACTAAACAAAGACTTAGTGCCGCTATTAGCACATTAGCAGACCACTGGAAGTGTGCCCACTACTGATTATTGCTAATGACTGTAAAAAAACAAAAAACATTAGACATAAATATGACATCAGTATGATTTTTGTTGTGACTTTACTCAGACCTTCAATTAACTTTTAGTTCCAGTTTGCTCATTTAAACTGACAATGCTAAGAGAGTTTTCTATTAGCTGCTCTTCCAACTAATAGAAAACTCCATTAGTTTCTATTAGAATTTCCTATTGAAACCCATTCTAAAGGTCTGAACTTCCACTTCAACAAACAGAAAATGCAGCAAAAGACTCTTGAACAAGTTTCACATGTAGTGATGAATCAAGTAATGGGGCAGCTTATGACAAGAATGGACCCAGTGACTTTTAAACCATAAACCCTTTAGAGTTTATGGCTTATAGAGTATGGGAGGGTGTTACTTTAAAAAAAAAAAAAAAATTAAATAAGAATGAATTGGATCATTTGATTAGGTTTTCTCATCTAAATGAAATATGATTTCAGAAGGACTCTTTTTCTGGCATCTTTATGTGACACAGAGTGATAACACTTTAGTCCTAGTGATGCACCAGTGGAACCAGCTGGATTCAATTCAAATTGGTTTTTCCTCAAAACTAAAACACAAAGCAGAAAAATATGCTGCATGTTTTTTGATATTGATAGCAGTTTTGAATAAAACAGAATACTTATCCAGCACTTATCTATATTTATAACAGAACATCCTATTGATTGAATCTTTCAGACATTTATCCAACTCTAAAATCTGGCCGATTGACTGGTGTAGCTCTATGTAGTATTTTAGCCCAACTTCAGACACTTATCATGTTTAAAGACGTTTTCACTCATTTTCGTGTCTCTTTTGTTTCTTCCTACATTGACTCAGACTGGCAGCATCGCGTACTAACCCCCAGGTCTTGGACATTGGGGTGATGCCCCAAGACTGGCTCACCGAACCTGACTGGGACAGCACTGACGGAAGCCCTCACCACTGTTTCAGCGCACACAAAGATGATCCCTTTGGTTTCTGATAACTGATCTCGGCACAGCAGAGAAGGAAGGGCGGAAACTTTCCTTCCTTTAACGTAATGCAAGATTTACCAAGAGGCAACAGTGAGAGCACAAGGGAACAAGCGTGGTCCTCGCTTCTGCACTTTTCCCATGCGTAGTTCTTCCTTGTACTCGGTCTGCTGCATCTGCGCACCAAAGCAATAATAACATCCCATATTAACACTACGTATAATCTGCTGTTACGCTGCAAACGACCTGTAGTGGAGTCTTTCAGCATAATCAGCATATGATGCAGCATTTGTTCACCTAATCAGTATTTGTGGCCGCAGAAGTAACATGTATGTGCTTTGGTTACATTGTATAGTTACAGTTTTTTTGTTAAATGCATAAAGTAGGACAGTTTAACCTGAAAATCAGATGACAAACCTTAACAAGGTAATTACTGTTTTCAGTTGTTATTCACTTCCTTCATGGATTTATTGTGTAGTTTTGGCCTTCCTTTGCCAACACATATTCTTCTGTGTATAATCTGAAATTTTATTCTATTTATTTATGTCCTTTGCATATTGTAGTATGCCTATATTTCTCACTGATGCAATGAAAATTCATGTTGAATGACCATCTTAATGAACGTTTTTTAATCAACCGGCTTTGTACAGGAATAAAATGTATTAATTAAATGCACAAGGTTTTTTTCATATTCTTTGACTGTTAACATAAATTTGAAAGTTATTTGTATTTACCCAAGAAGCTCGTTTCTGATTGGAAATGACATTGGGGTCTCTATGAATATGAGAATGAACTCAGGGGCATCATTCTTAGAAGAAGAAAAATATTTTTGTTTTACTTACATTTTAAGAAACAATTCCAAGTTCACCTGGCAGTCTTTCACGGCATTAAGGTAATCAAATGTAAATGATATCAGCTGAACTCTTTCACAGCTGTACTACCCTTTTATGATTATAAAGACAAAATAATGTATCAGGTCAGGAATGAAACTTAAAACTGCCAACTTTGTATGCAGTTATCTGCATCTGATTACAATTAAACAAAATGTGAGCAGAAGCAATAAGCCGCAAGTTTTCGGTTCACAATTTAATCACTGTTAAAATTTGGTCATGTATCCAACATATAAAGCCACCGAGAAAGCTCAATTAGAAACTTAGCATTTATATTTTCAGAAACGATTTACACTTTAGGAAGCCTTTCAGTATTTGACTCCAATGCTAATGTTTTCAGCATTAGCAGCTGGTAATGTGTCATGAATGTGAACGAACTGAAGCTGATCACTTAATAAACTGAAGCTCTACAGCTGCAGACTGCGTGAATCACCCAACATGCTAAAAGGTAAAGGTGTGCGAACATAATCACTCACAGCCCAGATTGCTACAGTTACACTGTTTTCAGCACTTCTGATTTTAGGAACCTTTTCCCTGACCACTAGATGGCGCCAAACACTTGTAGTCTGCGAGACATTCTGTGTGTCTCACCCAGAGCCTGTTGTAAGCATCCACCACCTTGGTTTTGAACCGGAAGAGTACTGATACTGATTCATGACACAATATGTCAAAAAAAGGGTTAAGGGATCAGACATTCATTTAAAAATTAGGCTCTTACTAAAACGGTTTAGCTTTGATCTGTTTGCATGTTGTTGCAGGCGGGCTAAGGTGTTTAAATTAAAATTGTTGGGCAAAACCTCAAAGAGGAGTGAGTGGACACGAGTCTTGAAACTTGGGAAAGAGTCAAGACCTTTGACTTGACCTGATGAAATCATTTCCTACTTTAACACCAATGACCCCTCAACCCTTTGACTTGAAAACAGGAGAGACAGAGGATGATTGTAACACTTTGTGCTTCAAGGTTATCTAATTCCGTCAGTTTTGGAGATAGATGTTCTCAAACTGTTAGATAAAATGGTATGAACCGAAAGAGCAGAGATTTGCTTCAAAATATTATCATCAAATTTTAAAACATCAGAACTCAGTTTATTAATGAATAATCACAACTTACAGAGCATTGGTCTTATTGACTAAATCTACGCAAACCTGACAAGTCCACACAAACACATTCAGAAACCTAAAATTAAATATTTAGCTTTTGTGACATAGTGTCCTTTCCAAGATCTGCATTAAAGTGTTGGGATTCACCAGAATTTATGTGATCTATTTTTCCCTCTCACAGCTCACATTGTGGCGCTTCCTGATGAGCTACCCCTGCAGGTAACCCTGGACCAGGATGATGGTAATGAACTCCATTACTTTGTAATTATTGTGTTCATTTATGATTCTGAGGAGGATGAGGTAGATGAGAATGATGAGGTGGAGGGTAGAGTTAGTGGATAAGGATGGTGATGAGGTCGAGGTAGAGATTGAGAATGAGGTAAACTTGGAGGATGAGGATTTTGAGGCGGTGGCGGTAGAGTTGGCATATGATCACTCTCTTGAAGTTTTCAGTGAGGTCTCTGAGTCTGATGCCATTAACTCTGAGGAAGAAGAGGATGACAATAAGGATGGCCTTCCACAACATCTTTGCTTAGTCCAGACCTTTCCAACTTCAGACTCCAATGGAACCACGATCTCCAGGATGAGCTTCTGGACCTCTGAGGATGAAGGAGAGCTCAGTGTTGATGAGGGGTCATCGTCAGAGGAATCAAATGTTTGTTCTCTTTTGTCATCTGGGGATTTTCTTAAGTCATCCAGTGAGGTATCTGGTTTCAATATCATGAGCTATGAGGACCAGAAAGTTGATGAAGACGAGGATTACCTTTCACCACATCTTCGGTTTGTGCAGACCATTCCTTCCAAACTCAGGAACCACGAAGAGCCTCTATAGAGTGAATTAGACCACTCACTTTCAGGGACCTCCCCATGCCATTGGGTAAGTGTAGAACTGGACCAGGCTCCCTCGACATCTGGCCCTCGCGTCTCCAGAAAGAGGACAACGGCAGTAGGTGCTGAGGAGCAGAGAATTTGTCATTAGAGGGTCGTTCAGGGGGAAAGCCTTTTCCCTCATCCTCTGGAATGGAGGCACTGCAGAAGAACGTAAGCCTTCAACTTCTGCCATTGACTCATCTTGGAAGGGAAGTGGAGAGAGCTAAATGTACTTTCATGAAAAGATTAAGATGGGAGATGGCAGGGCTAAGAAACTGATTACCCACATGGAAACAGTCACTGCACATTCTGGAGATCATTTCTACTTTATTGATGTTTTTTTAGCTTTCAGTGCCAGCAGAGGGCAGTCCGGGGCTACATAATGAATGGAACTTTGGAGAATAGAAAAGTGTTAATTCAGTTTTTTGTCACATCTTCAGTCAATTGCACTTGTCACCTCCAGACTAACTTATGTGTGTTGAGACCATCCTCTTCCTAGACGGACTGCCTCCTGTCAGAACCATAAGTGCAGCACTACAAGCACAACTTTATTGGCTCTCAGAGATCCATGCTGTGACGTGCTGAGGATGTGGTGTGGTGTGGTAGCTGGATCTACAAACCAACGGAAAAGATACACCGGACACCAGCACCTGGCTTCATTGGGTTCCACTCAGCACACATGCTCTCACACGTTCCCTGCCACGTTCTGTATTCGCCCCGTGTGTGCGAGCTGCTCTCTGGAGGGTTGAAAGTCACGCGGTTTACCCCCCCCTGCCCCCCATAACAGGCTTTGGCTCACTGAACCAGGGGCTTTTTTACAATTCGTCCCGACAAGCTTACTTAACCACCTGCATTATTTAACAGTCTTTCCTCAAAGGGAGCTCCGACTCTCTGTAAGTTTGATGAAAGTCTGCACAGGCAGAAACAGCCAGGAAATATCTCTTTCTCAACGGAGAAAGGTACAGATACCATAACGGTGAGAGCTAAAAAAAAAAAAAACCCCTAACGTGAGGAGGCAGGAAGCTCAAATACCGGCAAATTAATACAATGGACTAAATATTTTATGTTTTTCACATTTTGTACCATTACAACCACACACTTCAATTTGTTTTACAAGAGCTTTAGCAGTGGTAGGCACACTTCTGCTAATACGCTAATAGCAGATCATTTTTTTCATTTAGCACCTTTGCTAACTTTGAAGTCGCTTAACAATCTTAGTTTCCACTTAATTAGTTTTTCTGGGTAAATCCTAAACCGCTAGTTTACTTAGCCGCTTTGTACACTCTCAGCTGAATATCAGTTTTGGTTCACTGCTCTTCAAGTAGTTGGACTTTTATATTCATGCTCTTATTTTGAAGTGGGTGAAGACTGTTTACACAGCAGTCCCGTTTCCTCTCCTCACGTGCTCTCTTTTTTAGCTGAAATAACTTTATTTAAATCAAGAAACATACAGGAACAAGATAAAATGCGAATAGTAAAAAACAACATATGAGTGTAAGTACTATATATAAGAGTGTTATAGGACATGTAAATTATAATGTCAAATTTTTATTGATGCTCAAAGGTTTTAGTCTTTCAAGAGGATACATGATTCAAATTGAAGTTAGCACTTTAGCATTAGCTTCTATTAAATACCATGATATAGTGCTTTTGGATTCGTGGAAATAATGTTCAGGAATAGTGTTTTAAGATTATTACACTTAATTTTTTTTGGCTAGCAGTGCCTACCATTGGTGGATAGATACTAGGGCTGTAGTGATACAGTAATCTTACGATACGATACGATACACGATATTCTGTCCACGATACGATACATATTGCGATATTCATCAGACGATACAATTCAATACACTTTTGCGATTTTCTGAAAGATTTTAGAGGGACAGAGTGATTTTGGTGATATTTTGTGACTGTTATAGAGTTGGATTGAATTAATTTAACTGAAAACTGATTAAAACACCAACCTGGCTCTGGTTGGACATGGACACAGACTTAAAGTCGACAGCTGTACAAAAAGAATCAAAGAAGTGGTGAGAAAAAATGTTTCTTTTAATTGAAACAGTACAAACTGTAGCTTACATGGATTTATAAAGTAAATAAAATGCACCAAGCACCCTGCTCTGAATAGTTTGATGCCTTTTTAACCTTGACACTTAACATCTGAAGGAATCACTCTAAGCCTCATGACCTAATCTCTCTCCCGGCGAAGCAAGCAGTGAGTGAGCAAGGTGACAGCTGGATGTTACGATACTTGCAGATGAATATCGATTTTTTTCTAGGAAAGAAAATATCGATATATATCGCGATATCGATATTATCCTACAGCCCTAATAGATACAAGGTTATAATTATTGTAAAGTAGAAGGAAAATAAAGTTCTCAAGGTTTTTTCTGTCCCCTTTTTTTCTTCATACACTAAAGAAAAGACAGTGCAAACAATTACCTTCAGAAATCACCTAAAAAGCAAATAGTCCACATTGTGTCATTCACCGAGAAACACAGTAGCCTAGTCAGAGAAAACTGTTTAATCTCAGGGAATACAGTTTCAATTCATCATTTCAACAATGGAAAAAAAAAATACGGCACACCAACATAAGTCCCGTTTAAAGTTTCCCACGAGCGAAGCAGGGGAACCATTACACTGTAAAAAGAGAAAAAAGTTCGGCTGTATTAATACTTTTTAAAGGTATTGCACAGCCTTCATAAAAACAGTGAGGTTTTTGCATTTTTATGCAATTAGGCTCCCTGTTATGTAGGACTTTTGCACAAAAAAAGTGAAAGTGCATTTTCTTCCGGAGTAAACAGCACAAAGAAC